TTGACAACGTAGCATGACGCGTTTCGTCGTTACGAACGACTTCTTCAGATACTAACAGAATACAGACTAACAACATATTTGAAAAAACAGGTATCAATATCAAGGGAATTTTAGGATTCTATGTCTCTGGGTTTCACCCATTTGTTTAATTGTATCTGTTCATTGAGTAAATTTCTAGAATTTTTGCCGATTTTTTCGACTATTTCCCAAAAATCTAATTGACTACTTTTCTGTATATTATGTGACATTTTGAAATTCGTACCTGAAAGTATGGCATGTGAAACTGTATTTATGCTCATGGATTCTAGTGCCGAAATTTCTTCTTGTTTTATATTTAGAGGTATATTTTTTAAGTAAAAAAAAATGAATAAAAACAATTTTATTTTATAATCTTTATTATCAAACAAATGAACCATTCTTTACAATTATTTTTTAAAGATAATTTCTTTCAAATGTTGTCCGCGACTACCGTTGACAACGTTCATTCTGTAATTCCAATTTTCAATGACGCGTATGAGTATTTCGAGGGGTATTTGGACAATGACTCGAGTAATATTGGCCTTCAATGCCTCAATTTTAGCCGGCTTATCCATGTAGACTTTGGACTTTACAAAGCCCCAATAGCCGGCCAATTCACTGGTCCAAAGCGTGAAATGAGCTGTTCGCCGAATCGCTCTCGCAGTAAAGCCATGGCTTCACGGGCTGTATGGGAAGTGGCGCCATCTTGTTGGAACCAAATTTCGCCTAGACCACGAGCTGCAATTTCTGGTATCAAATAGTCTGTTATCATGGCGCGATAACGGTCACCATTCACAGTAATGTTCTGGCCGGCCTCTGTTTTGAAGAAATATGGATCGATTATTCCACCGGCCCATAAACCACACCAAACAGTTGTTTTTTCTGGGTTTAATGGCAGCTTTTGAACCTCTTCGGGTTGTTCATCACCCCAAATACGGACATTTTGTTTATTCACGAACCCATTACGCGAAAAATGGGCCTCATCGGTGCACAATATTTTTGTTGAAAACAGTGGATCTTCTGCAAGCTTGTCAAGAGCCCAGCGACTAAAGCGGAAACGATTCGGAAGGTCAGTGGGCTTCAGTTCCTGCACTTATTGAATTTTGTAAGTATTTAAGAAAAGATTCTTACATAAAATACGCCAAATTGTTGAATTTGACAGGCCAAGTTGTTGAGAACGGCGACGAATTGACAATTCATGGTCTTCGTGTACACAATCCGCTACCGCCCCTATATTTCTTTCACTACTTGCTGGATGAGGTCTATTTGGTCGAGTATTATCTAGTAATGAAAATTGGGTCTCAAACTTAGTGATGGTAGAGCGAATTGTGCGTTCAGTAGGCCGATTATGTGGACCATAAGTTGCTCTAAGCGCCCGAAACACATTCCTCGTAGAATGCCCATATTCGTAAAACAGTTGAACAATTTGTAGACGCTGTGCCGCGCTAAACCTTTCCATTATGAATTGTTAAACACGACTGAACAAGAATGTTACTTCAGTTGACACTAGCATGCACAATCTGCAATTAAATCCCCACCACAAAAAGTACCTCTAATTGAATCACCCATTATATACCGGACATGTTCCACAATTCAATTGGTAAACACCAGATTTATCTTCTCTTTTAATTTTGTTTTTATTGTTTTTGATGTGTCTCGATAAATAATTGTTTGTTCTGAATGAAATATTGAAATTATGTTTCTGTAAAAAGGTTTCGACTTTTTACAGGGACATAATTCATTATAGAAAAAACATACTGCTTTTCAAAAATAATGTTCAACTTCATGTTAAATTTCAACTGCTGTTTGTCCTGGTATAGTAACTCGGTCGGGTGAGTAAATGGTTTTTTATAAATTATTTTCAAAAATCTTATATGTAGTATAATTAGTTTTTTTATATGACCAGTGGATACTCCTTCCTAACTCGTTATCCAATATATGGGTCTTGATTCAACAAGGGCATAATAAACTGTTTTCAATGGTGCCAATTTCAAAACCTGTGCCAGAAACTTAAATTTCTCCAAAAGTTCTCTCAGGCTCTGCGTTATGTATTTCACATGGTCATTCCATCGAATATGACTATAATTATCCCAAGATATTTAACTTCATCAGACTGAAATGAGTCAGAATGAAAACAGTGACATAATGTGTCATCATAAGTTTCATGAAGATAAAAATTGAACATTGGAGGTTTATTTCTACTTCATATAGAAGACTTCTTGGTTCTTTACGAGTGAAATATTTCGACGCGAAATCTCAAATAAAACAGAAGAAACCATGAGAGATGTGTTATTCTTTCGAATGTGCAGATGAGATTAGAAAATTATGAACGAATCTACGATTGTTCTGAGGTGTAAATCTAATCAGAATACCCAAGGCATACTGTCTAATACAAATAACATAAACGGCTGCAAAATGCGAACAAAAAAAAATATATGCACTTTTCATCGATATTAGATGTATAACCGATATTAAATGTATAAAGTATGTACACTTTTCGTCGATATTAGATATTAACCAAATCAAGGATGTACAATTTTGGTCGATTGAAGATGTATACCCGAATCAAGGGTGTACACTTTTTATCGATATTAGATGTATCGGTCGTTAAAGGGTGGTTCTATACTTTTATAAAAGGGCCTTCAAAGTAGATCGGTCTTCTCACTAGTCCATTCTATTCAGGCATATTAATTTCAGGCAAATGGAAAGATATGAGTATGTTTCTTTGTGACTTAATCATATTTTTCCGTCTCCGTGAACTTGAATAATCTATTCATAAATGTCGTTTCCGTTTATTTCATTGAATCATTGGTGTGACGAGTTGATAAGAATGATCAGTATAAGTGCAAACATTTGTCATTTCGAACTGGATCCTCGAGTAATCTCCGAATTTGTATTTGCATATGATATGTAAGAAAATCATTAGGTACGATACTAAACAGAATGAAGCGATATGCCACTTGAATACGACGAAAACAATTTCATTATGGTAATTGCGACATTGATTTAAGAAAACTTATTATGCGTGATATTTTATCTTGTTCGAAATGCAAATTGCGATAATTCTGTTACAAAGTGAAATTTGTTATTGATTCGTTACGGAACATGTCAGAGTTGATGAGTTCACAATAACATTTTAATCGGAAATAACAACGATATATAGGGGAAGCTGCGATATTCAAAACTCGAAACGATCGAATTCAACTGAAAAAATAAACAAAAAACTAGACATAGATTCGACAGCGATTGCAAGTTCCGTCACCGACCATCGTCAGACCATCGATAACCGCTAACACTTTTGTTTTCACATAGACTACAATCATATTCTTCACTAAAGCTAAGATTGAACTGGAAGAAGATTAATAACACTGGGTAACAGCAATTTTTTGTCTTAGATCTGTGACTTGTTTTTGACTACATTTTGGTCTCTGAATTCAAAATGTTTCTCTATCGCGTCAAGTTTTTAAACAACAGGATACCTCTCTTTATTCTAAAAGTCATACAAAATGGGCATACAGAGGAAAATAAAGTGGGTACTAACCAAACATATTAGAATATTTTATTATTAAGGTTATTATAATATTAAAAGTTAAATTGTGTTTATAAAAAAAATAAAAATATATATTAGGGTAAAAATTTCTGCTTATAACTTGTCCTAGAATGTTGAATCTTGGGACATTCTCGCTTGATGTTCCAACAGTAATCAACCATCATACTGACATCCCATCTATTTGATACCTTGCCTCCATGACCTTCAAATCTTGGTGGAACCGCTCACCCTGTTGATCACTAACAGCGCCCAGATTTTCTGGAAGTTTAGGAAGATGACTATGTAAAAAATGCAGTTTGATACACATGTTACAGTTGTTGAACAATTTCGACGTAATTCTGGACTCGTGTGTTTCCAAGAAAGTCCTTGACAATACTTTTGAATGCCAAGCAAGCATTGTTTTCAAGCTCAGTCATTGCTTCAATGAAACGTTCATCTTTAATAAGTTGCCGAATCTGTGGCCCATCAAAGACACCAGCCTTTATCTTCTCATATGTCAAGCTAGGAAATGCCGAAATGATATACTCAAAGCAGTCCCCTTCAGTTGACAAAGCTTTAACAATTTGCATCATGAGACCTTATCCCTTCAGTTGACAAAGCTTTATCAAATTGCATCATAAGACCTAGTTTTATATGCAAAGGCGGAAATATAATGTTTTTTTTGTCGAAAAGTGGCCGATTTAGAATGTTCGGATCACCAGGTTTCAGGTCAGATCTTGGCGGCCACTTTGACTGCACCCAATGCTTCTCACGAGCTCTGCCGTCCCACATACGTAGAAAACAGGGGTACTTGGTATATTCGCGTTGCTGGCCAAGAAGGAAACAAACCATTTTAATGTCAACACAGATGATCCATTGGTGTAAGTTATATTGCAACAATTCAATAACTTTCTGTATGTCTTCGTATTCGTCCTGCAAAGAAACTGAATGACCTATTGAGACTGAACCATATAAATTTCCATTGTGGAGAAGAACACACTTGAAGCTACGTTTTGAGCTATCTATAAACAATCGCCATTCAGTTCCAACAACTGTAGGAAAAAACCTGACGTGATAGAAAACCTGATTTAAGTTTTGGAATCAGCATGTCAATTTACCTCTAAAAAAGCTGAAAAATGGAAGTCAATAGAAATTATGTTACTGTAAAGAGCTGAAGCCGACATTGAAACGGGAATGAAAATGAAATAGAGTAACCGAGTTTCGTGAGTAAGAAACAGTTCTGTGCTGAACTCTGACTTGTATATATTTCCGTACAAGATGCGAATTCCGTTTAAATATGACATAGTGAAGAATAACAAAGATGTGCGATATAGTTTTTTAATTCAGTGGACCTACAGTTTAACGACGGTTCCGAACGGCTTGTAATCAATGTACATTACCTAGCATATATCATTATTTAAATACTTAAATCATAGACAAACACAAACACCCATGCTTTCAGCGGGGTTCGAACCCGAGTTCTACCGGATCATACTCGGGTGTTTTCCCGACTAAACTACGGAGACCGACGATGTGTGATTTCAATTCACCGTCTTCATTTATCCATGTTTTTTGTATATCCGGCTCGAAGGACCAATCACCCCGTTTATGAAAACAGTAAAGAACCGAACGTTGTCGTATTTTTCTGCTTGTTCGAAAACTGAATGGGGCTTTTTCACTAGGATCACAGGTGTAAATTCCTCTTTTTACGATACAAAAACTATAAATATCGATAAACAAGTACTTGCATAAAACATAACCGGTAAGGTTCATTAAATGCACTCAAAAACCGGTGAGTTTTTTCAGTAGTAGCGGGCATATTAGTACGAATAGTACGTAGAGTTAAGCTCGCATGAAATATCGTCACGTTAAACGTTATTTATCGACTAATAAAACTTGTCGAGTCGTAAATTCGGTATTAAATTACGTAACAAATTTGCTCTTTAAATCTCCTAAATCAATTGAAGAACTTTAGGCGTTCTTATTGCCGTAAAAGATCGCTGCCCAAACTTGGCACTCGTTCCGACTTGAACTGTCGTCGTCGCCGACAACTCGGAACGTCCCACCCAACTTGGCATTATATTTTCGGTAGGATATCAATTTTCCGGAACAAGTTCGATGAATATTTTTCGTTTCCCATTGCTCGTATTTTTAGATATTCACAATTATTTGTTTAATTTTGACGTATATTTTCAGACTATTGAATTCAAAAATAACTCACATGATTTTGTATGATTTTGCGGAGTTCACCAGCTGGAAAATATGGGGTTACAAGGGTGGGGTTAGTGGACGAACCGTTTTTAAGTTCGAACGATTTCTCATGTTGGAGCGTATTCAGATTGAGAAATTGTTCAATTTCAATTGTGTCGTCTTATTGAATTAAGTATTTATTTTTCACATGAACCGAATTGCGCAAATTTAATTTATTTCTATATATATATTTTTGGCGGGGTTGTGTGTATGTTATTAATTGATGAACTTGTATTACACTACCGCCTGTTTATTTATCTGATGTGTGAGGGAAGGTTCAATTGAAATACACTTCGAAGAACTTTTGAATTTAACTTTATTTTAGAACTAACAATATTGTAGGATATGACTTATTAGGACGAACTGTAGTCTAGACTCGTTTCTTCTCAACTCTCTCGAATCTTTCCATGTCTCTGCTTTTATACATTTTCAACAGTATTCAACAATGGAAATCTACGTGACAATTTGACAGGATTCAAGATTTACAGATTCAAGAATCATAAGATTTGTACATAATGAAAAATTAAAATTACAAAGAGTTTATTACTTAACGAGGGTACAGTATTAGGCGGAAAGTGCAAGTTAGTTACTATAAGTTTTATTACTGTTCCCTTCGATAACTTACCCCGGTGGGAGGTAAAAGTTGAACTATGAATTGCCAATCCGAATCAAGGATATTCGGAGAAGTTATTGCAATTAGAACATAAAATGCGATATTTTACAATATTATGGATTACTTCAGAAACGAGTCTGAGAAACGAATAACAAAGAATTTAATACTTTAATAGGGTACCCTATTAGGCGGAACGTGCAAATCAGTTATAAATGGTTTTATTACCGACCCTTCAGTAGTGCACCCCAGCGGGAGCTGTATTAGCCAAAAGATGGCAGATAAAAGCTGAAATATGAATATCTTCACCAAAGGACGAAAACGAGCCGCCACATATTGCTTGCTTCATCCTCGAAAATTTTTACCCTATTTTGAAGAATGACGATTAACCATTGAAAACTCTGAATAATTCATAACGCATTTGTGATAATCATTTCAATATTTCAGATGTACGTGTGTGTTTGAGTAAGACCTATTATGTTTTTTCCATTTATCCAAAACCTTTTATGTTTTTTCTTTTATCCAATTTTTTTGGTATTTTTCAGAAAGTTTCCAAAGAAAAACACATATGATTTGAAAAATTCTAATACAGAACAAAATTTCATGAATCGTATCAACAAGCCCTAAAACTTTTCTATTCAAGGGATTTTCCCTGTCGATGTGGTTTGAAAGTCTCTGCTTCAAGGCGTAATGGTTGTAGGACGATTCAATAATTCGAACACTGGAGGAAAGTCGATTTAATTCTAGCAGTTGTTCGCGTCACCGAAATGTGTAGCTCTTATCAAATGTCATAAAATACGTGGTGCCCGCCTTGTGTAACGCGCAGCGGCCTAAAATTATTTTTACGTTTTAATTCACCTGTGCGATTTACTCCATTTCGTTGTACAATTATTATTATTGCTATCCATATTCCCTGTGAATTGATTACGTGACGCAAAATTCGCGTATTAAATTCGGTTTTCCACACGTCTGATTGACGTCCTGCAGTCAAGGTTTTCTAGTACTTCCATATGTACGAGGGTAGTTCTGAAAGTATTCGACAATGAACTCGCTCAACTTCCTCAAAACTTGAGCGATAATGGTTTTAAGCAATGTGGTTTTGTGGTAAGCAAACACGAAAACTGCAGAAAAATTACGATTACGTTCAGATTTTATTCAGGTTACGATTCACGTAGTTTTTATTTTCAGCTCATAAAAATTAAATGATGAAAAATTCGTGCACCGCAATGATATTTTCAAATGCCGATCTCCGTGGATTAGTCGGGAGAACACCCGACTATGGTGCGGTAGAACTTGGGTTCGAGCCCCGCTGTAGGCATGGGTGTTTGTGTTTGTCTATGATTTATATAGTTTAAATAATGACATACGTTGAGTAATGTACATTGATTACAAGCCCAATGTAAACTCAAATATACAGTTTAATGTGAATTAAACTTTAGGCCCACTGAATTAAAAATACATTTATACAATATATGTATACATAAGTAGGTATTTATATATATATATATATATATATATATATATATATATATATATATATATATATATATATATATATATAAGGGTAATTTTTCAAGAGTAGTTTTTTTTTAATCAAATAAAACACTCAGTTTGCATGCTATATTCAAAATTTTTATTGAAATTGATAACTTGGCCTTTGCCATTTATATTTTGAAGATAACTTCATGTAAATGTTGTCAATCAAATGGTCCATTCGGAGGGTCCAATTTTGCGTCACTTTTTCGAGCATTTCGGCCTGTATCCCACGAATTAGGCGTGTTATGTTATCCTGTAAGACTTCAATCGTGTTCGGCTTGTCCACATACACTAACGACTTAACATAACCCCACAAGAAATAACCCAGAGGCGAGAGGCGTCAAATCGCATGTTCTTGGCGGCCAACTCAAAGGGTCATTTTGAGAGATGAGCTGCTCACCAAATTTATCCTTCAACATGTCCATTATTTCACTGTGTGGCATGTGGCACCGTCTTGATGAAACATGTCAACCAAGTTCGACTCGGCCAACATTTACTATTCATAATTATATTGAGTAGTTTCTTCGGTATTCTGGACTGTTTCATTCTGTAGACATGTGCATAGAACTTTGCTCGTCGTTTTCTGATTTCTTCCGTTATCGTATTTGTCTTTTGATACAGTTCATTCTGAGGTCTCTTCATCCAAATACTGTTTCTTTTCATTTGCCCGTAAATCTTTCTGAGAATTTTTCGTTCTTGTTTTTCTATTTCTCTAATTCTTGAATGGCCGCCAATAACCATTGTTTCAGCTGCGTAGATTGCTTCTGGAAGAATCGTTGTGTTATAATGCCTCAATTTGGCGCCTCTCGAAATGCACTTTTTGTTATAGTGAGCCCATGTTAGTTTGTAGGCCCTTTGGAGCTTGGTTATTCTCTGTTCATTAGCGATTCGGTTTAAACCTGAGGACTGTATAACTTCCCCGAGGTATTTAAAATGGCCTACTTTCAGAATTTCGCCATGTTTTGTCATAAGAGAAGATTTATTTTTTGGTTTTCTTTCCATGTATTTGGTTTTATCATAAAAAATATAAGAGTATATATATATATATATATATATATATATATATATATATATATATATATATATATATATATATATATATATATGTATGTATTTACTATATTTCATAGGGGCAACTCAAACCCATCCCGTGTCTATTTTTCAGATTTCGTCGAAATGTACTACAAAGTGCACCAGTAATGATCTCTCTCTATTGTATTAAAAATATAAATATACTGATAACAGATTATAGAGAATCTCGTCGAAACTGAAGTTATTGTCATAACAAGAGTAATTATACTAATATTAATTGTTATTGAATAACTCGTTGATTGTACGCTATCGTTTTACTTTGTCTGATTTCCTTAAAAGTTTCCTTATCATCGTTAACATTGTAAGATATATTCTGAGCACATCGGGGATCGTGTTGTCTGCTTTTTGAATATCTGGATGTTTGGAATTTTGATATTTTCTTAGTGTTGAACGTTTGATTTATGAGTCCAACTTAATATTCATATATAAAATTGTAAATAATTTAGAACCAAAATGCTTGTTGGCGCCATTGTGGTTGAAAGGTCCACTATGATATCATACGAATTGAGGAATATGGAAGAATATCACATAGAAAAGTATGAAACAGGCGGACTATAAGCACTCTTTCACATAGGAACGCAATATGTTAATTTTTTTAAAAACTAGCCAAAAGCTAGTAAAGATGCTATTATTATCATTAAAAACGAAGGTATGTTCGTGTGTTGATACAGAGTGTCACTTGATTTACTACCAGATAATGTATTGTGTACATTTATGATCTCCAAGTGAGTTAAATTGGAAGAATTTTGGCATTTATGATGAATTTTCTTATTGGGTGTCACAGAGTTCTGTGATACCAAAAGAAGCTAATTTTTTATTGATAAAATTTCCATTCAAGAAAAATACAATGAGTCAAATCGCACAAGCCAAGATTAAAGTCGAGCAAGTCGATGATTAGAACATAAATATGGAAGTGAGTAGTTAATGAAAATATCTTGCGAAATTACTGGAAGGAACCACTGAATGTAATCAAGTCCTCTTCTTGTTGGCCGTGCATAATGAATAGACAAGCGATGACAGTGGAGAGTAATAAATGGAC